TACATTTTGCTCTTTTGCTTTGTCATTTTCCTATATTTCAAGGTTTCAAGTGATGTCCCATAGCTCCCTGAGGGAATGCTTGAAATCATCTCACATGCCCTCGGCCCCTGAGACTGGAGGTCGCTGGGTGTGGCCTAATCAGGCCCACAGGGACCTCCTGTGTGTTCTCCAGTGGTCTAGGATGCTGGAATGGTCCAACGCTCTGCTGGAGCATAATCACACTGGGAATCACCTCGCATGACCTCAGCTCCTAGGATTGAATGGCTGTCTCTGGACATGGCCCAGTCAAGCCCATGGGGTCCTCCTGTGCATACTCTGGTGATCTAGGACACTGGGCAGTGTCCTTACCACTGGGAGCGATGGTCCAAAGCTCTTTCCTAGTGCAAGTGTGCTGAAACTCACCTCAAACACCCTCAGTTTCCAGAGAATGAGTGAAGATCATTGGACATGACCCAGTCAGGCCCGTGGTACCTCCTATGCATCCCAAGAACTAATAGCATTAACAGTATAATCATCTTATCTATTTTATGTATATGTATGCAAATTTGTATCTTTTACCTTTCCCCTTCTTTTTCTCTTTTCCTTTATGCCAGTTATTTTTTCCCTTTAGTTTCTTACCCTTTCACAATATCTATTCTAGATTTTGGATCTTATTCTTTCAGTTTCTTACAGTAGGGAGACAATATGGTATTTACACATGTGGGCCTGATTTACTTCACTTAGGAGCATGGTCTCAAAGTGCACCCATTTATCTATAATTTTATAGCTTTGATGTTACCTTTCTTTATAATTGAGTGGTATTCCATTGTATAAAAGTTCAATCTCTTTTTTATTCCAGGGTATCAGCATTTGTTTCCAACACTTGGATATTAAAAAAAATTGTGCTGCTACAAACATGGGTGCACATATATGACTGTGATATGTTTTCAATTCTTCTGGGAAAATGCCCAGAAGTGGGATAACTGGGTTGAATGGGACCTCTAACCCTAGCTTTTTCAGGAACCTCCACGCTGATTTCCATGGTGGTTCAACCAGTCTGCACTCCCATTAGAAGTGAAGGAAGATTCCTTTTTCTCCATGGCCTCTCCAGCATTGTTATTGGTTGATTTCTTAAGCTTGGTCATTCTTCCTGGAGTGAGATGAAATAACAGCATTTTAATCTGCATTTCTCTAATGATCATTGATGCTGAACATTTTTTCATATATATATATATTTCATCTGAGAAGTGTATATTTATCTTAGATGCTCATTTTTGGATTGGGTCTTTGAATTTTGAGGGCCTGATATTTTAAAGGCTTTATATGTTCTAGACAGAAGTCCTTTGTCTGAGGGACAGTTGGCCAAGATATTTTCCTAATTTGTGGTTTTTCTTTTCACTCTGTTGATTTCTTTTGAAGTGCAAAAATGTTTTAATGAGATCCCAGTTGTTGATTCTGGGTTGTATTTCCCATGGAGTTTGACTTTTGTTCATGAACTCTTTGCTTACCTCTATGTCATCTACATTTCTACCTATTTTGTCTACCAATTTAGTTTTTCTGTTTTAATACTTAGGACTTTGATCTATTTTGACTTTAGTGCATAGTGATAGACATGGGTCTAGTTTTAGTTTTCAGCATATGGAAGCCAGCATTTCCAGCATCATGCATTAAAGAGGATATCCTTCTTCCAGTGAACTTGTTTGGCCCCTTTGTCAAAGATAAGGTAGCTGAGTGTTTGTAGTTGTATTTTCTAATGTATTCCACCAATCTTTAGGTGTGTTTTTAATCCAGTACCATGCTGATTTTTATCACAGTAGTTTTGTAGAATATATTTCAAGTTGGGGCTTGTGATACCTCTTGCCTTGCCTGTGTGGCTCAGATTATCTTTGCTAATCTAGGTCTGTTCTGGTTCCAGATGAGTTTTAGGAATGATTTCTCTGTATCTGTGAGGTATGCTAATGGTATTTTGACTGGAGTTGCATTAAATTTTTATAACAACTTTGAGAAAAGATTTTTAACAGTGTTTCTTCTTCCTATCCATGAACAAGGAATGTCTTCCCACTTTCTGAAATCCTCCTTTATTTTTTTCAGAGTAGTGCAATTTTCAGTGTATAGATCTTTTACTTTGTTAGATTGATTCCTAAGCATTTCATTTTCTTGGGTGCTAATGTGAAGGGGGTAGTATCAGTGTTTGTTGTCTGTGTACAGGAATGCTATTGATTTTTGAGTGTTGACTTTGTATCCAGCCATATTACTCAATTTGGTTATTACATCTAGGAAGTCTTTCAATGGAGTTTCGGGGGTCTTTTATATAGAGCATCATACTATCTGCAAATAATAATTTAACTTCTTCCTTTTGTTTCTCTTGTCTAATTGCTCTAGCTAGTATTCTGAGAACTAATATTGAATATGAGCTGTGATCATGGACATCCTTCTTATTCCTGATTTCAGAGTGAAAACTTTTTGTATTTAGTAAAATTTTGGCTATTGGTTTACCATACATGGGTTTTATCAGATTGAAGTAAAGGCCACCTATTCTGATATTCTGTAGAGTTATCATGAGTGTTTTGACTTTACCCAAAACTTTTTCTCCAAAGAGTGAGATGATCATGTGAGTTTTGTCTTTGGCTATGTTGATATGGTATATTACACTTATTGACTTGCATATGTTGGACCACCCCTGCATTCCTGGGATGAATGCTGCTTGGTTATGGTATATGATGTTCCAGATGATATGCTGCATTTCTTTTTGAGACAGAGTCTCATTGCACATAGCCTTGGCCTCACTTTGTAGCCCAGGCTGGTCTTGAACTTGCAATGATCCTACCTCAGCCTCCTGAGTGCTGGGGTTACAGGAGTGTGCGACCATACCTGGCTGATATGCTTCATTCTATTTGCCTGTATTTTATTGAGAATGTTTGTATCTATGTTCGTTCTGGAGATTGGCCCTTTTGGTTGAGTCTTTCTCTGCCTTTGGTATTATAGTAACACTTGTTTCTAGGAATAAGTTATGCAGACTTGCTTCCCTTTCAGTTTCCTTGAAGAGGTTGAGGAGTGTTGGCATTGTCTGCCCTAAATTTCTCATAATATTCAGCAGTTAATTCTTAAGGACTTAGGCTTTGTTGGTAAGGTTCTAATTTTCAACTTCATTACGTGAAATTGGGTTATTTAGCAGTTTTACACCTTTTTGATGCAGCTTTTGTAATTTATGTTTCTAGGAAAGTGTCTATTTCTCCACTGATTTTGAAGGATAGCTTTTCAAGGTACAGCAATCTCGGTTGGAAGTTTTCCTTTAGGATTTGAAATTCTTCACTCTATGCTCTTGTTTCTGTTGAAGTCTGCTTTGATTCTAATGGGTTTTCCTTTATAGGTGATTTCTCTAACAGCTTTTAATAGTGTTCTTATGTTGAATTTCTGGGGTGTGATTGTATACCTAGGTGTAGACTTATTTTGGTTATGGCTAATTGTAGTCCTATATACTTATCTGTGTGCCACTTTCTTTACCTGTGTTTGGCAAATCTGCTATTATTTCTTTAGTCTTTTTATATCATTTGTCATCACTTCTGTTTACACTTATTAGTATTTTCTTTGCATCATCTTGCAACTGTTTAACTGCTGTTTCCTGATTATTTTTTAAACAATCTTTCCTTCAATCTTGTCTTCAAGGTCTGAAAGTCTATCTTGACATTCATTGAGGCAATTTTGCCAGCTGTCCATTTCCTGATTATCTCTTTGAATGTTTCATGCATTCTAATTCTTTCTTATATTGTTCACTCAAGGTTTCTATCATCTTGAGTGCTCTTCAATTTTTTAAACTATGTCTTTAGGTATGTTCAGCATTTCTTTCATTATGCTTATCATTTCTTGTTTTACCTGGGAGATTATTTCTGACCCGATTTCCTTTATAGTTGCATGGAGTTGTTTTGTTACTTCAGTTGTTATCATTTCAGATATTTCATGTGTATGGCTTACACTTTCTTCTATGTCCATGTCTCCTAGGCTTGTGGATGGGCTAGAGGTTTGAGACTGCATTTTGCTTTTGTCATTTTCCTGTATTCCCTTAGAGCAGCTAAATGCAAAGTCTCAGCTGTTTCCTGGATTGAGGATCACTGTCCATACTGGAGGGGCTTCCTAGCTGAGTGGAATTGTTAGACACCTGGAGGATCCCAGAATGAGTGGAGTATGCTGGGTGCACCTTTACCATGCCCCACAGAGTGTGCTCAGGCTGTTCAGCTGATTGGGCTTGCTGGGCAGGGCCCTACCAAGTTCTGAGTGGCCTCCAAAGCTGCACGGTCAGATGGAGTACACTGTGCAGGTCTTCAGCTCATGCCACACAGCATACCAATGCTCCCTGGCTGCTTGGGGTTGCTGGGCAGGACACTACCAGCAACCAAAGGGCATGGCAAGGCTCCTCAGTTGCTTGCGATCACTGGGTGGGGCCCTCACTGGGCAGGGCCCTATCAGGTTCTCCATGGCTTATCAAGGCTGCACAGCTACATGGGATATACCGTGCAGGCCTTCAGCTTGTGCCATGGGGCCCAACAAACCTCCCCGTGCTCCCCTCCTGTCCCCTGCAGCTACCAAGGCCTAGCTCCAATCAGCGCCAACTGGTGCCCAGCACATGTTGCCACATCTTGGTCCTCTGGATGGAGGTGAAGGTGGAAAAGTGCTAGAGGCCGGGCTCAAGCCCGTGTCTCCATTCTTGGCCAGGATGGGGAGAGGATGACATACTGGCTTCCTTCCCACCAGAGGATTACAGCATTTCACCTGAAAAGGACAACCAGACACAACCCTGCTGCACTACCCATCCTCATCAGCAGCTGTAGCTCAGCATACCCAAGAAACTGCTGGGCAACAAGGTAGGTTAGAGTGGTATGGCCACAGCCTCTGCCCAGCCTAGACTGCAAGACAGCAAGTGTGCATGGGTTGACAGGTGACTGATCATCTGGTGACCTAAAAATAACTGTCCACGAGTTCAAAACACTGGGTACAAATAAAGCAGCAGACTGTTTACTAGTGCATGTAGTAATAGTTGTTCTATTTTATTGTAGTTGATGGCTGTTCACCTTTCAGTAGAAATTCTACCTGACCCAGCCACTCCCCCAGGAGGTCTTCTCAGAGGACTTAAAGACAGTGATGCTTGCATAGCCATGCCTGCAGCAGCACAGTCCACAGCGGCTCAGCCCTGGCTGTGACCCACGTGTCCATCGGCAGCTGAGTGCACAAAGCTAATGTGGCATTTGTGCACAGTGAGCACTCCTCAACCACAGAGGAAGATAAACACAAATCATCTGTAGGTAAATGGGTGCACATCAAGGCTGTAACATGAAGTAAAGGAAGCTGAAACAGAGAAGCTTCAAAACTGCACACCCCAGCCTCTCCTGGAAAGCCATGACCATTGCCTGGTTGAGGAGACCTCAGGTCCCTTCCCACAGGGACTTCTAGTTACAACGTCACTGCTCCTCTCCAACAAAGTTAGAGACCTAGATGGCCAGATGCATTCACAGCAGACACAGAACTTGGGGCAGAGAGAGAGAGAAAAGCGAGCTCATTATGCCCACCACTTACATCCTGGCAAGCAGGCAGGTATCCTGCTGTGCCCCAGGATGACTGGTATGTACTCTGCATCCCTCAGCCCCTGCTTCTGGGGAGGGTGGGGTGTTCACAGCCCTGCTGTCCTGCACATGGGTGCCAGGAAACTCCTGACTATAGGACATCAGCCCCACCTGAGCCCTTGCTCCAAGCAGGGAGATGTGATGGGAGGATCCCACAGCATCAGGAGCTCAAGCTGCTCATTGGTCACATGTGACCCCAGCATCCTTAGAAAATGCATTCCTCTTGTTGGGATTCACACTTCTTGCTAGGGTCCTTGTGCCTCAACAGCAGCTGTGTAATACTGAGTTCCTCTGGGTGTCACTCAGGGGCTCTCTATTCCCACTGCCTCTACCCCCAGGATTCCTGCCCATGTGCCACATGGCCTAGCTCAGGTCCTTCGGGGAGGAGCTGGTTGGGCTGTCACCCTCTCAGTCCCACTGTGAAGTTGGTGTTCCTCTCACTACTATGGAACCCAAAAGGAAATGTGAAGATACTCATGGATCAGGAACAAAACAAGGGACAGACTGGGTGAATTTTCCTTTTGACATCTAATTGATTAAGCTACGCCAGCCCCGCAGGGGCTATTTCCATCTCAGCACAGGTCTGTGACAGTGGTGTCATTGAGGTCGATGCCAGCATGCACCTTGCCACCCTTCACAGCTGCCCAGGGCATGGAGGTTGAGGTCCACTTTGCTACCCATTCCCCTGTTCGGCTGACCAGGATGAGGCCCCCTAAACCTTTGAGCCTTGACTTCATGTAGCCCAGTGCCAGGTCCGCAGCCTCATCCACTGTCTTTCCTGGGAAGAAGGAAGGATTGGAAATGACACATGCCACAGAGGTATCTGACACACTTTGCAAGCCAAAGTAGGTAGTGCAAGCAGTGTGGCCAAGTACTTCCACATAGATGGGTGATAAAAGAATCTCCCGCCACATATTCTTCCCTTATCCTCCCATACAGCAGCTACCCTGCCCCAGCCCTAGTGGACCTGCACTGCTACTCAGAGAGAGCCAACAGACTCAGGCAGATTTCTTATGCAAGCACCTTCGTAAGGAGGGTAGAGTTAGGCAATATGAATACTAATGTCTTTAGCAGAGAGGGAGGTTCCGCATGCCTCCTTGTCTACCCATCTTAGCTTCTCAGAGGCCTGGCCTTGGCCCTAGCAGAGAGGGAGGTTCTGCATGCCTGTCTATCCATCCTAGCTTCTCAGAGGCCTGGGCTTGGCCCTACGCACCTTGCTCTAGGTGGAAGAGTGCAAGCCGGGCCAGGTTCACCTTCAGGATGCTTTCTCCATGCCCTGTAGTTGACACTGCTCCGATGCTGTTGTCAGCATAGCCTCCAGACCCTGCTCACAAAGAGGCTGGGTTCTAACTCAGTAGCAAGACTCAGGAGACCTAAAGTGAATCCGAGTGCTGAGGTGTGGGCCAGCATCAGGTACAGCACTGTGACCGCCGGATATCAAAGGAAGAGGCAGCAGGAGGAAAATGTTGGACCAGTCGGATGGAGATGGGAGCAAGGAACCTTTCAGTTAGCAAGCAGCACCTGGGCCAAAACCTCCTGTGTCTCAGGGTAGGTCATGCCACCCTGCCTGCACCTACAGCCCAGGACACCTGCCTGCCCTGTCTGGATCACCAGCAATGCCAGCACACCAAGAAAGATGGGGAAAGCTACTGTCCATCATGACCAGGTCTCAGGTCCCCATCTGAAGGCAATCTTGGGGGTCAGGGTTAGGGTTGGACAGGGTTTGCCTCCCCCATCCTGGCTCAGCATGGTACATTCCCTGGCTCACTGAGGCTAGGCTGGGGCTCAGGGTACAGGTGGCACTGCCTGTGGCAGGAGACTCGGGGCTGGGTCTGCAGGGTACAGGATGGGGGAATGTGCACCCCTACGGTGAAAGGGCCTCTGTCCCCTGTCTCACTCAAACTTCTGCTGCAGGACAAAGTGGCTGACCTGGAGGAGGTAGCCGACCTGGTGCTCAGGGATGCCCTGGTACTGGGTGTAGCCAAGTTTTTTTTCCCTTCTGGCTCCTTTGGGCCCACAAGGACCAAGTGCCCCATGAACTGCCCTGCCCCAGGCAGAGGTTCCACCTGAGGGAGGCACCATGGGCCAGGGTGTTCCCCTCAGAGTCCATGCAGGATCCTGTGGGCCAGACTTTCTGGTGCAGAAGCAGGATCAGGGCTTTGGGAATTCACATCATGCCTTTCCCCTCAGGAATTCTCTACTGGGACTTGAGGAGCTTGCAGTCTGCTTCCAGTACTGCCCCAGCTGGGTAGCAGCACCGTGCTGCATGCCCAGGCCAGGGTTCCTGCTGCGTAGAGGGAGCAGGAGATGGGTCCACATCTGGATGAGGGGTTTGGGCTCTTGGAAAGCTCAAGCTGGGCATTAGTTTCCACCAGAAGGAGGGGCTGTTTCTGTGGGCAGAGGGTGCAGGTTTGGTCCTGCAACTTCAGTCCTCTCAGGGCTTAGTGGGAATTCCCATAGGAACTCTCCAAGTCTGCACAGAAACTCATGGCCGTGTGCTTCAGGGGTCACCTCTGGGACATTTCCCTCTGCTCCCCTTCTGCAGAGCTGTGTGTCACCTCTGTGTCACTCATGGCTCATACCACAAATATCCAGCTGTCTACTAGGTGAGGTGAGCGCAGGCCTCCTGGGAGGGAGTCCCAGCCTTGGCCTTGGCTAGTCTGCAGATCCCACCTGGGCTGATGGGGATGCAGGTCTGCTCTAGGGTCTCTGCTCTCTGTCTCATGGGGGTCTCCAATTAGTAGCCTAAGAAACATGCCAGTAGCCTCTACAAGCAGGCACTGCCCGGAATACCCCTCCAGCCCAACTCTACTCCAGGAACCCCAGAAGCTGCCATGGAGAAAAGCAAAGGAAGAAATGGAGAGAAATGGGCCCTGGTGAGTAGGAAGAGCCATGCCCACATCCTACCTATGCAGGGTGAGTCCCCAACTCGGCCAGTCATCTTGTTAACAATGCCTCCTGTAGAGGTTGCATAAGCCACGTTTCCTTTGCAGTCTAAGGCCACAGCACCCACGGTTCCCAAGTTTCTGCAAAAAAACAGAAAAAGCGACAGGCTGAGGACAAGAAATACTCCTACCAGTCCCCTTGGAGCTTACAGTCACTCCAGTGTCCATGCTGTGTGTTAACGGCACCAAGACACTGTGGACTCTTGGGCACTGTGGACTCACAGGCTTAGGCTTTTCCCACCACACTAGCCATGTCACTGCAGTGTAGTCCCTGCCTCCTCCAGCTCCCCACCTGACAGTGTACCACGGCCACAGCACCACCTGAGCTGCGGGGCCTTGGAGCTGCACAGAGACACACAGGAGCTCATGTCAAACTCTGGCCAGCGTGAGAATCCCTTGGGCACCCAGGTGAGGTGGTGGGTTCAGGGCAGCCCCAGCCTGTGGTGCTCAGGCCCTGCCCAGGGTGTCCCACTGCCCATCCATTGACCCCACAGAAGCCTGCTGTGTGGGCTGTAGGGAAGGAGTAGGTTAGGTTTTCCTTTGACATTATGAAGTTTGAAGTCAATGGTGGAGTCACCTATCCTCCTACCCCATTCCCAAGGGAACTGTCCCGGGTGCTAGATGATAGTAGGAAATAGCAGGGACCCAGCCCCTTCTCCCACACAGCTGCATCCGGGGTGGGCCATAAAACTTCAGGTGGCAACCACAAGGAAGAAAGAAAGCAGGAGAGATTGGGAGCCACATAGCAGGTGAGCGGCAGGGGGGTGCAGCAGTCTCTGGCAGAGGCCTCCATGGGAGGGAGTGCTGTCCTGGTGGGGCAAGAGACATGCTTGGCCCAGCTAGTCCCAGGGTCTGCCGTGTCTGGAGTTGGCTCAGGACAGCGGCAGCAGCAAGGTCATAGGATAGCCAGGGCCAATGTGCCAAGGCTCTCACAAGTGTACTGTCTGTGCATCCTGTTCACCCAAGACAGGCTGGTCTCTTTTCTTTCTCTTCAACAGAATGGGAGCTCATATGATTATTTGAGCTTACAATCAGCACATTCCAAGTTGGGTTTTAAAAATAACCATTCTTAAATAAAAACCATTCTTGAAAGAATCCAACTTATGCTTAATTGTCTTGGAATGGAACCTTTGTGTCAGTCAGGTATTTACTGTATATACAAAGGAATCAAAACTATCCGTTATACACTATTAATTATAGCACTCTGAAATCAGAAATCCATGGCAAATAAAGAGAAAACTAGAACCCTGTCCAAGCTATAGCAATGTTACAAACACCTAGTTATTAAATCACATCCTCCTGAACACTCAATGGATCACAAAAGAAATCAAGGAAGAAAGTAATTCCTAGCCAAAAAATATACCAGAACCTATGAGACAGTGATAACAGTCCTAAGAGAAAAGTTCATTGCAGAGGAAATTCAAATAACCTAAAGATATAACTCAAGAACCTAAAAAAAATGAAGAACATAAAACCTGATCTAGTACAAGGAAGGAAATGATGATAATCAAGAGCAAAAATTAGTGAATTTGAGGTTACAAAAAAAAGTCACAAAAACAACCAATGACTGTAAGAGCTGGATTTTTGAAAGTATAAACAAAATAGACACACTTAGGGTAGATGTGGTGGCACATGATTGTAATGCCAGCACCCCTGTGGCTAAGATACGAGGATCACTGAGAGGTCAAGGTGAGCTGGGTATACATAGTGAGTTCAAAGCCAGTCTAGACTATGTAGCAAGACTCTGTGTCAAACAAACAAACAAACAAACAAACAAACAAACAAACAGAAACAAACAGCAGGGAAAAAAAAACCACCCAAAAAAAGATTCACTGCAATACAGTTAGGAGTGAAAAAAGCAAAAATACAATGGGCACCTCTGAAGTTGAGACCATTAGTAATACAAAATAAACTGCACAATCTGGGAATGGACACATTCCTAGACACATGATTTACCAAAAGTGAACAAAGATGACATGTAAAACTTTGATTAATTCAGTAACAGACAATGAAATTGAGGCAATAATTAAAAACCTACCAAATAAGAAAAGCCCAAGACCTGAAAGATTCACCACTGAATAGTGCTTCAGGGAGGATATAACACTATACTCCTCAAATTCCTTAATGAAATTGTAAGGCAAGTAATACTTCCAAACTCATTTCTGGAAAGTGGCATATCCACTTGATTCCAAAACCAGAAAAGGACCCAGCTGAAAAAGAAAACTACAGGCCAGTTTCTTTAATGAACATGGATGCAAAAATCCTAAAGATACTGGCAAACAAGAAGAAATCATGACAAAGTAGGCTTCATAGCTAAGGACAAGTATGGTTCAACATATTCAAGTCAGTCAACATAATACATCACATAAACAGAAACAAAAATCACATGGTCATCATAATAGATGCAGAAAAAGCCTTCAACAAAATCCAACATCTGGATTCCCAGGATAAAAACAAACAACAAAACAAAACAAAACAAAAAAATAACCAACATCCTTTCAGGATAAAACCCTAAAGAAAATAGGCACAGAGCTGGGCATGGTGGCTCACTTTTGTAATCCCAGCACTCAGGAGGCTGAGGTGGGAGGATCGTTGCGAGTTCGAGACCACCCTGGGCTACAAAGTGAGTTCAAGGCTAGCCTGAACTGCATAGCGAGACTTCATCTCAAAAAGACAAAAAAAAAAAAAAAAAAAAAAAAAAAAAAAAAAAAAAAAGAAAATAGGTGTAACAGTACCTTATCTCAATCTGGTCAAAGTTATTTATGTCCAGCCTACTACTGCCAACATCATAATAAGCATAGAAAAACTAAAAATTCTATTTTGTTATGTTTGACATTACTGTGTGTGAAGGGATGGCCAAACATTTCAAAGAAAGCAAGAGACAATATGGTAGCCACTGTTGATGTCCTGTTGTGAAGTTCTGTGTTGCTTGCATTGATTGTTCTGTTCTGACTTGCTTTGTTTTGTTTTATTCTCTTTAAATTAAAATAAAAAGAAAAACTAAAACCTTTCCCTGTAAAATCAGAATAAGACTTGGATACCTACTTCTGCCTCAAAGTCCAATACTGTGCTTGAAACAACCAAGGCATTCAGGCAAGAAAATGTAAAGGGATAGGTGGAGGGTTAGTAAAAGAAGAAATCAAACTGTCACTATTTTGCAGATGACATGATCTTTTATACAGAATAACCAAAAAAAAAGTCCACCAAAAGATTCCTAGAATTAACCACATTAAGCAGGATGCAAAATCAATGTGCAAATAATCAGTAGCCTTCCCACACAATGATAATGAACCCACCAAGAAAAAAATTAGGAAAACGACACCATTCACAACAGTTATAAGAAAACACAAGTACTTAGGAATTAACTCAGCCAAGCAAGTGAAAAATCTCTACAATAAAAACTCTAGAGGCTGGAAATTTAGCTCAGTGGCAAAGCACCTGCCTGGCAAGCACAAGGTCCTGAGTTCGATACCCAGTACCAAACAAACAAACAAACAAACAAATCTCTGATATTCTGAAAAGGAGATTAAAGTGGATACCAAAAACTGGGAAGATGGGCCAGGTGTGGTGGCACAGGCCTGTAATCCCAGCTCTTGGGAGGGTGAGGCAGGAAGATTGCTGTGCATTCAAAGCCAGCCCGGGCTATATAATGAGACCCTGTCTCAAAAACCAAACCAAACCAAACCAAACCAAACCAAACCAAACCAAACCAAACTAAACCAAACCAATGGAATGTCCCAATATTGTCAAAATGGGCATACTTCCACAACTGACTGATAGATTTAATGCAACCTTGATCAGAATACCAACAGCATTTCTCACGGTACTAGAGAAAACAATCCTGAAATTCATATAGAACAAAAACAAAAAGAATAATAAAAGCAATTCTGCTTTTGTTACAATAACAAAAGCAATTCTGGGTAACACAAGCACAGGAGGTAGCATCATAATCCTTGATTTCGAGTTATATGGCAAAGTTACAGTGATAAAAATAGCATGGCTCTGGCACAAAAACACATTGTAGACCAATGAAACAGAACAGAGGATGCAGAAACAACTTCAGGCACACTACAGTATCCTCTAGCAAATGGGACAAAAACATAATAGTAAGAACACCTCTTCAATGAGGGGTGCTGGAAAGCTGGCTATCTACATACAGAAGACTGGACCAGACCCATAGGTCTTGCTATGCACTAAACTAAATTAAAATAGATCAAACATATAAATGTTAAACAATCTGCTGGAAGATAAAAAGAGGTGAAAATCTTATAAGCATAGGCAAGGACTTTCTGAACAGAATCTCACTTGCACAAGAATCATTATGTTGGATTGTACCAAATCAAAGAGCTTCTTCACAGCAAAGGAAATCATCACCAGCATGAAGAGATAGCCTAGAGAATGGGAAAAATTTTTTTTGTTAGCTGTTCTTTTGATAGAGGACTAACATCTAGAATATATGAAGAATTCATAAGAAATAAATTCCACAAAAAAGATCCGATCAAAATATGGGCGACTGAATTAGTAGACCCCTATTAGGAGACAAAATGCAAATGGTCAATAAAAATACTTAACATCTATGGCAGCAGAGAAATGAAAATGTTCCAAAGAAGGGAAGGCTTGAACCAAGAAGCACAATAATTCTTCCTGCTCACTCTGGGCCCCTTGTACCTTTGAGACAACAAGCTAGAAAGCAGGGATAGGACTATTATGCCACAGCCGAGGCGAGGATGAATACAGCTGAGTGCAGGAGATCCCCTATATCTCAGTAAGACACAGACACTTGAGGAAGTGGAAGATACACGATGTCTTCATACCAGCAGCCGTCTCTGGCTACCCCAAGTCAGGGGAGAGCGCTACGGGCCTGGCTGGAGTTCCCACACAAAGCAGCCATAAACAAGGTCCAACTGAGGGCTAAGAGCAGTTGTTCCAGTCATTGGCTTAAGAAATGTAGACAGAAAGGATTTGCTGAGTGTGCTCCCCTGAAGACTTCTTGGAATCGTGGGCTGCTCACTTGGGGCAGTCAGGACTTGAGGCGTCTTTCTCCTGCCTTTCCTTCTCCAGACGCTTTCTGTTCCTCTCTGTCACCAGCTGCTCCCCAGGAATCTCCGAGATCCCCATGTCTGCTGCAAATTTTGCTGCACCTTGGCCAGTCAGAAAGCAGTGTGGCGTCTGACAAGAGAGCAGAGTAAATGGGGAGATTTTTGTGAAATTTTAATCTTTGTTTTCATGTTTTTTGGAACAGGGTCTAAATTTCCCAGTGGTAGTGAAACTGATCCTCCTGCCTCAGTCTCAAAAGCAGCTGGGATTACAGGAATGTGCCAGTCACTGTGCCTGGTTTGAAAAGTTTCTCATGTTCTCTGTTCCAATTGTGTGGCAATAACTGCTTGTCTGAGGGTACAAAGGGTCACAGATGCAACTCCACTGGGTCTGTTACTTTTTTTGCTGATGCTGCAGATCAGGCTAGGGGTTCATGCACGGGAGGCATGCATGCTACTACAGTGGATGGGCACCAGCCTGGCCTCCTTTTCTGAATGCTGAAGAACCTGACTCTGAGTTCTTTTGTTTCACCAAAGTCCCCACTGATGGAACTGCGCTAGGGATATGACTTACACTTACACAAGAACTTTCATTTAGAAATTTTAATCCTTGAGGCAGGAGAACTGCAAGTTCCAGCTGAGCCTGGGCAATTTTGGTGTCTTTTTTGTTTAGGGTCTTGCTAGGCAGTCACAGCAATCCCCTTGTCTCTGCTTTCCTAGTGCTGGGATTACATGCATGTACCAGCCAGTCTGAGTGCCTGAGCAACTCTGCAAGATCCCGTTTCAAAATAGAAAAAGGGTAGTGGATATAGCCCAGTGCAAAGGCTCTGGATTCAATCCAAGTATTGCAAAATAAACAAACAAAAAGCAAAACTAGAAAATGTAACCATTCTTATTTAACATGTGCTGTTAAACAGCATGTATCTTCTCAGTGTGCATGTGCTGTGACATGTGCTAGACAGAGGCTGAGGAAACACAAGGTGATGACAAAGACTCCATGTGTCACATGATTATGAGTCCAACTGTGGTTGTCTGAGACCCTGAGGGGAGTGGCGCTGTGCCTAACACATGTCTGCCATAGCTGCCATCTCAGTGCTTTCCGGGTCAGGCCTTGCCCTCACCAAAGCACTGCAGGACCCCCACCCAAGACCCCTGCTGTGGGCACACACACCTTGTCCATAACCAGCCGTGCCAGCTTGATGGGATTTGCAATGCAGCGCACGGCGGACACGGCTCCTGCACCGAGGTCTCTGCCATCCATGATGCTGGCATCCATCTCCACATCTCCATTTTCAGTCAGCACAGAGCCATGGCCTGCACCGAGACAAAGGTGGAAGGTGGGCCCGCAGCACTCAGAGGAGGCTCTGCCTGTTCCTCTAACACAGCCCCCTGAGCCTGTCTGCTACTCCACTGCCATAGGGATCCTTGAATCTCAGATCTGGTTGGGCACTCACAGGTTTGGATGAGGCTGGGGCTGGCAGCCTGGTCCCCAGGGCCTGAGAGGCTTCCACTGCACTGGCGCTATGGGGGCAGATCCACTCCTGGGAGTGAGCTGATTACTGACCTGTGTCTAGCTTCTCCCTCTGGCTGCAGGGCCACCTGCAGCAGCCCTGGGCCGAACCTAGTACACTGGTCCTGCTCTGAACAGCCCCAGTGCTGTGGTTCACAAACCCTTTTGCTTTACTTCACTTTCTTTTGTCCCCTCCATGCTTTCCTCCCAACATCCCTTTTCTTTGTTTCTCTGTCTGTGGTGGTGATTGGGCAAACACAAGCACACAGCTACACTCCTGGCGGCCCTACTTCTCTTTACAGAACAGGATTCAGTGATTATGTTATAACTGCAATACAAAGCAGGCTAAGACAGCACCCTATGACTTATGAAACAACAAGCACTCAGTTGGTGCTGACCTGGCCTCAGGTCTCATGCCCCAGCTGGTCCTTTTTTCATGATTCATCTCCCTGAAACGCTAGGCCTTCCTGAACACACCCCAGCTCCCACTGCCCGTGCCTCTGAAATGAACTCTCCTCCCCTTAAGCCTGGTGCCTCACTTCTTCCACATGGACAGGGCACAGCCCTGGCTCTGGGTCTTAAGCTCTGTGCATCTGGGGTCTACTTGGAAAATAGGTAAGGACATTCATTTTGTTTCATGCTTGCAGGTCAGACCCAGAGCAGAGCCTGGGGGGAATGGGATGGCAGGTGTGTGATTTAGTGTAGCTCTGGGTAGGCTGAGAGGACTGACTGAAAACAGAAGCCCCATACTGAAAAGCTTCTAGCCTGGATGAAACTAAATCAAAGACTAACAAGTGCTGGTCAGGCTGCAGGTAGTAAGGAACCCTTCCATACTATTGGTGGGGATCAATATGGAGAGTTCTCAAAAATCCCACTCAACCCAGCTATTTCCCTTCAAGGTATCTTCTTGAAAGAGTTAGACATCATGCTATAAAGATCCACTCATACCAATGTTTACAGAAGCACAATTCATAATGGCTAAATCATGGAAGCTGTCTGCTATTCCAAAAACAACAGAATATAGTACAGTGATCATCTTTCATCTTCTATTGCCTTGATCTGGAGCCCTGTATAACTTATACTGTTTTATCATGACTGATCTTAGTTAAATTTGGTTTGTTTGAATGCTGTTTGGTATCGACAGATTTTATTCAAAACTGTTCTGATTGATAGTATCAAGTCTGAGAGTATAGGCAATTACACTGAAGATGACAAGATTCACTACAATACCCATTCTGGTTTGATTATTACCTGTGTTTGAAGTTTTACACTATCTACAAAGTTTTGTTTTTATTAATATTGTTATGTACTGCTATATTCAATTATATGATGTCTGATGATACAGCCAATTCTATTGAAGATAACAAGAGACAATACAGTAACCATGGTAGAACTCCTTGTACAGTGGTTTTGTCTTTTTCATTTCATGTGTTTATAGGAATATGTTTTGTTTTGTCTTGCTTTGTTTTGTTTCTCCCTCTAATATAGAAAGGATGGAAATACATGTTAAGACTCACATATGCATAGAACCTATAAATAGTTTACGAGAACTGATCTTACAACGCATGATGAAATGAGCAAATACTTTGGGGAGGGGGAGACACTAAGTTACCCAGTGCTGATCCTGTGGTGTCATGATGTGAAATCCAGCAATACTATTATTCTTTGTTCAGAGTGACTTTAGCCTGCTTTGGTTTGTTTAATCTCAAAATAAATGAAGATATGGATAACTGCATGTATGTTTAAGTGTATAGGATCGATAACCATATTGCTGGGTTTTTGATGGATAGTTGAACCGAATCATTTGCAGTCTGGTTGTTTGAATCCCGACATTGTATGTTTCACTTTTGTATCTTGAAAAACTATTTGTGGGAAGACAATACGTAGTCATCAACTAGTGATTTCCTACTGTTTATTTTTTCTTTGAAAGTATGTATTATTTCTACCTGTATTCTGTTTTTAGTCTTTCCTCAAATAAAATTAAGAAAAAAAATCATGGAAGCTGTCCATCAACAGATAAATGGATAAAAAAAGGTTGCATTTACCCACAACGCAGTGCTATTCTGGTACCAAGGAGAATAAAATTGAATCATTTGCAGGAGAATGGAGGCACTGAAACCAGACTACTAAATGATGTAAATCAGACACACAAGCTTAAATATCACATTGATTTTCTTATATGAGACCCCCAACATGCAAATAAAGAGCACAGTAAAAGAAGATAGATCTTCTGCAAAAGGGAAGGAATCTAGAGATGGGAGAAGGGTAGAAGGGAGGAAAACACTGGAACCATGTGTGATGATGTGTGATGTAGGATCATCCTGTACTATAAACGTGTCCAATGAGACTGTGACAGGTCCTCCTCCCGCAACTCCCCCCTCTGCCTCGCGACCCACCTGCGTTGAACTCGGCGTCGTCCTCCAGCGCCGCCACTGCCGCCTCTACCGCGTCCACGGCGCTGCCCCCGGCCCTCAGGACGCCGTGGCCCAGCGAGGCCGCCCGGATCACGCCCTGGCGCACGCGCTGCCGGCGCTCGCATGAAATGCAACTGGCGCCGCCGCCGTGGACCACGAGCACCGGCTCCATGACGCCAGGCTGCAGGTAGGCAGGGACGCGAGGCTGGCGACAGGGGAGGACAGGCCGCTGGGAGGCTCTACACGGCCTGGTCCCCCGGGGCTCAAGGCAACGGCTCGGCCCGGCCCGACACTGCCTCGGGCACCCGGAACCTCCGCGTCCCGCCCACCGGCCTCGGCTTCCCCCACGCCCGTCCCTGATCCAGTCTTGGTCCCGGCCCCAGCCCCCGCCCCGCCGCAGGATGCACCCACCCGGCTGGAACGGACTTAGCCCTACAACTGGTTCACTAACCGCCGCCGCAACCGTCTCTAAATGGCCTGCCCACGCCTGCGCACTATGCGTTTCTGGAAGCCCTGCGACCACGCCCCCGGTGCCGCCCCTCTGCATCCTTGGCATGCCACGCCCACTACAGCCTCGCCCCCAGGTCCCGCCCCTCAGATGACAGCCCGCGTGTCCCATCCGGGTCCTGTGTTTGCCAGTTGTGGTGCAGGAAATATGGGTGAAGGAACTAGATATCAAATAGATTTTTTATTTCAATATTGTCATAATTACTCGGCCTCCCGTACACTAGAAAAAAAAAGTTTGGTTGTTTCTTTTGGAGAGGGGGGCTTTCTAAGCGGTTCAGGCTGACCTTTAATTCACTTTGCAGCCCAGGCAGGTCTGCTGGCAAGGATTCCTGTGCTGGGATTTCAAGCGTGCACTGCCAAGCCAGGACGAGGTTTGCTTATTTATCTATGCTTTAACATTTAAATTCCAGCTCGGCTTCAACATCCTCTCAAAGAAAACAAAACCAAAAAATAAACAAGAAGGAAAGGAAGGAAGAAAGAAAAGAAAAATTACGGCAGAAGGAAAACATTCAACAAAATTTTTGCCAACATATGTACTAACACACTAGGCTTTTTGTAGGGAAAGTACGTCAATTTTTAAAATTTAGAATTCAATAAAACATATGCAAAAACTTGTTGCCACAGATGGATATCATGGAATGTTTTGAAAGACAAAAAGTGGAACTGAGAAAAAGCCTGTCATCTGAACAGTTTTTTAAAAAAACTTCAGGTCAAACAGATTCTATGGTAACAAATCTGATTGAAAAAAGTAAAAAAAAAATCCTTTAAGGATGGTGAATTTATCTCCCTGATGTTCATGTTAAATTTTAAAAAAAAGAAGTAGATGTATAACACGCACATTTATTTTTTAGGAGTATTTCTATTGAATTATTTATTTTAATTTTATGAGTTTTATTATATTATACAATGTATATTTAACAGGAAAATATAATATCAAAAAATATTAAATTTTTAGTATGCAATGAGGGTTTAGAATAAATATCAATATTTTCAACATCAACTGTTTATAAAATCTACAACAGAAATGAACTCCTATGTAACTACAATGAAAATACAAATAAGATCCTACCACATAATAATTTTGACTTCAATTATCACACCTAAGGCAGTCTTCACACATGCGAACAGCATGTTCCATACAAAAGTATCACTTACACTGATAGCACATGGGTTTTGTTTCCTGTCTTCTTTGGTAGGACACACTTAACATCTTGCTGGTCTTCCCATTTTCTAGAAAGTGCTTCTGATGTTTCCCCTGTCTGTTCACTGGTTTGCTCCAGAATTCTTTTGCAGAGTTCTTTGGGCAGGTACATACTGTTATTCCTCTGTAGTAATTGATCACTTATCAGTTCTATTCCCAATCCTGTAAGAAAATTTCTCCATGATATTTTGTGCTTGTTATTTTCTTTGTAAACTATGAAATGGTTTTATGCCTGACATGTTTAGGATTGAGTAAAATGTAAGCACTGGCCAAATCTTTGTTTTGAGGACTTACAGGTGCTGCGTAACTCACCAACAGTATCTGCTCCATCTTTTGTTTTGTTGTCAAATGTGACCACTTCTGGCTTCATTTATGTTGAGACTCACTATACATATTTTTGTGGTCTTTGAGACAGGGTCTCACTATGTAGTCCAGGGCAGCCTTGAATTCACTCTGTAGCACAGGATGACGTTAATTTACAGAATCTTCCTGCCTCGGCCTCCCCAGTGCTGGGATTATAGACATGTACCACTAGACCTGGTTGCACTATTAATCTTATCATCATGGTGTAATATTCATAGTATTAATATTATTTTTTTATCACCTAGGGGGCCAATGTTATGTCTTTCGAAGTCCAAAGATTATATATTTCTTTACTATGAACTTAAAACATTTCCCCAAGAATCTCCTGCTTTGTTCTTGTGAATAGTTCCTGTGCTGGCCAGTTGGTATTTTTTTTTTTTTTTAGCAAATGTAACATCCATGGGTCACTGGTGAACTAATTATCAAATGTGACATTTCAGTTATTTTTTGAAATAGGTGCAACAAGTTTGCTTACAAAGCCATATAGTTTTTTATTGCATGAATAAAGACCTGTTGGCTGGGTTCCAGGATAAATTTCTAAAATGTTTTCACATCTACCAGTGCATATGTTTTCAAATCACATCTGGAAGGTTTATTTGGCATATATTGCCATAAGCTACAATCTTAAAATGATGCAGATTGTTTGTCAATTGTCACATATTGGACAGTGTATAAATTACTGGAAGATTCAAAGCAAAGCTTTCAGAAAATGAACAAAAAGAAACCAAATTGGTGGATTTTTTTCTTTCTTGGTGGTTTTTTAATTTTTAATCATCAAAATGTGGGTTGCCCAGGCTACTTGTTAGAGACTAGATCACTTTTCCTGAAAATACTGACTTTCCATTTGGGCCTGTGAATGTCTGGTAAGTGACTAGAATAGGGACGAAAGGTTTGGCATTTTCTGTCTTCATATTACATCTGTCCTGTTTGGTCCCCTGACCTTTGAGTCAGATTTTACTCAGTTCTCTATGTAGACATGCTGATCATTTGAAAAATGCTTTGCCCAGAACCATGCAGTTACCCATGGACCTGATCTAGACTTACCTAGATTCTGGTTCACTGAAGAAGGCCTCTTGCACTCACATGGGCTTGTGGAGGGGTCTGGTTCATAAGGGTGCTGTACTCACCATGGAAGCATCTGCTGGTGGGTCAGCGAATGGGTGTGCTGTTGGAAGGTGGGGCCTTGTTGGGAGCCGTGGAAACGAGATTGATCACATGTGTGGGGCTAAAACAAGGCCAGCTCACAAAAAACAGAGAGACCAAAACAAACTATGTAAACAAGTTGTTCCAGCACCAAGAAGGCAAGGGGCCCAGGCCTGCCAGACAATGGGTTGCTAGGCAGAGGGCCTGAAATTGTTGAGCAGTTCCTTTCTTCCCATCAGGAGGATAGGGACTCCACCTGACCCCAGCTTTGTCTTTTCTTTATTTTTCTCATCCTCTTGTGGTCCTTAACCCCAAGAAACTCAGGAGTTGCGGTTGCAGCAGGTCCTGGCTGGCAGAGTCTCCCTCTCTTTTTGGCTCCTCACTGTGCTTCTTAGCTGCTGTGTGCTGAGCAGCTCTCCTCCCCCAGGCCTTCCACCATGCTGTTTCTGTGCTCAAGCCTGCCCAGCATGATGGAAACTTCTGAAATAGGAGCCAAAATAAACCTCTGTTCTTTTAAATTACAGGTGTTGGATATTTTGTCCTATCAGTGAGGAGTTTCTAAAATGCATAATTTCTCCTTTCCCCCTTCAGGGCTAAAGACTCCAGGAACCATGACTGCAAACACAAGATCAAAAACACATGACACTTGAGTTCCTGGAAAGTCCCCATCTTTTCCCCAAAAGAACATGAGTATTTCTCCCTTCATTTGCTCTTCCTCATTATTTATTTCCTATACCTGGAAATTAATTCATTTGTGAGCACAGATAACACTTTTCCATACTTTGGCCTGAGTGAAATCTTTTCTTCAACATGTACTTCTTACATGTTGGCTTTTCTGTGGGGTGAGCTTCTGGATCTGTGTTTGGAAACATGACATTACCTACATGTTACATGACAAAAAAGTCCTAAATTTATGTCTCTAGCTTTTATTTTTCTCTTGAGTTAGGCCTCCAGTTCTGGACACCTGCACTTGATGTGTCTCTGTGGTTGGTCTATCATCTTGTGTCTTAAACTTTCCTCCTTCTTGCCCCATTCTATGCCCCCAGCCTGAACTTCCTTCTAGTTCTTTTATTTTGCCCATTGGCTTCAAACTTGGGATCCTTCTGCCTTAGCCTCCCAAGTAGCTGGGATTATAATGATGTGCTGACACCCCTGGCCTTACTTAGCTATCTTAGAGGAGGGCACTCTTCTACCCTTTCTTCTGAGTATTTTTTTTCATTCCAGAGATCGAACTCAGGAACTTGTACTTGCCAGGCAGGTACTTATGCTGCTGAGCTATATCCCTGGCCCCTCTAAATCAAAAGCCTTAGAGTCACCCATGGAATCCTCATCTTGTACCCATCAATGCTGGCATTGTTTTAATTTATGTATGTTGTCTGTTGTGGTATTTCCTTGCTCACCAAGAAAATTATTCCATCTTTGTTTTAATGTTTGTAGACTTTCTATCCATGCCCCTAAGTCTCAGCACATAAACTAGGCCTGGCCAGCTGTGGTATTTCATTTGTGTGGCAACAAAAACTTGTTTAACAGCTGACTATATGACCCAATGAGGGTCATTTATAGAACTTCCCTCGGCTTGATTATCCTCCTGTCCCAGCCTCCTGAGGAGCTGGGATTACATGCATGTGCCACTATCCCTCATGCTTCTCTTAGTTTTTATGTGGGCTCTTCAGGTAAGTATAAGAACTCAATGCCAAGTGCTGACTAACAAAAGAAAAGTATACAAATTTACCCATTTTGCATGTTACATACATGGGCATTATAAGTGAGCTATCTAGTAACACAGAACAGACACACTTGTGTGTTTCCACAATGTTAGAATTTATTGAAGCACAGTAAAATTCATGAGCTCCACTGGGTTTCCTTAGCTTTGTCAGGCTGAGCACTCAGAATTCACTTGGTAGCCCACTGTTGTAGGTTGGCTAACTGATGCCATTTTGAGCCCTGTATTTAATGAGTGCCCTGTTTTTGGTCCAGCAGAATGGAAAATTACCTAGAGTACAATCCCATAAAAAAAGGAGAATGAACTGCACCCACAAGAGAAAAATTAACCTGCTCAACAAAAGAAGCAGGAGACAGGTGTCAACCAAAAATTAATATAAGATCCTAACAAAATTGTTTCCAACAGGATGTGTCATGGTTTATGTCTGTGTCCCCCAGGCCTCATGAGT